GACTAATAATGTAAATAGTCTCCATACTCCAGATTTACGTTACGATTAATGGTGAAATTCGCACGATTATCGATGTCGTGAGGTGAACCCCTATCATTGTAGGTGAGAGGATGTGGCCGGCAGGAAGTTCATTGTATATGGCTACACATATAATGTTGCATGCCGGACGATCCTGCATATTCGACGTAACATCAGGCTCGTCGCGCGAAAATCCGGAAAATCTCACTTAATATGTCATATTTGGAACATAGGAATATATTATTTATTATTATTATTATTATTCATGCCAATATTTATTTTAGGAAGATTATATATATATCCTTGCAGAAAGTAATTTTAATCAAAAAAAGAAAATTTGTTAAATTCTCTTTGTATCAATTTTATATATCTCTTGATTAATTATAATTATAATTAATTATTATTGTTATTATAATTATTATAATTTATATCAAAGTAAGTTGTATTCAAAGACTTGTTTACGGACTGTTAATGCAATATGTGGAATGAATACATAAATAAATACGCATAATAAGTATGTAATGCATAATATAAGTATGTATTGCATGATAAGTATGTAAATATGCAATAATTATGTACATAATAAATAGATGTCAGTGGATAACTATTGTGTTTTAAATTTGTACTAATTTAAATTATTTTTATATTATAATATTATAATATTTAACAATTTTATATATTATATTTTTTTGTTGTATAATTTCATTATTGTTAAAATTATTAAATACTATAATAATATAAAAATAAAAAATTTAAATTAATATTAATTAATTATATATTTAATATTTAAGTACACATAATTCATTAATTTCTGTTACAAGATCGCGCATGTTGAATAATTAATTTTTTTAGTATTATTTAGATTGTTTAGAATCTTTTTTGCTTTCATTTATGGTAATCTCATAAATAAATAATGAGATACATTCCTATTTTGATCAGTTATCTCCAATAATGAGGCAATGAGGCAATACCTACAATGATGCAATGTATTTAAATTTAAGGTCGATATATTTAGACTTACAACTAGACAAATCATGTGCGATATCGAGGAACGATAAATTATTTATTACGTAAAATAAGAGTTATATCGTAAATTCGAGATTAGAATGTCAGGGCTCTTCAAGAGATGACGCTTGAAGAATATTCCATGTGGATGTTACGCAAGCTTAAGGTTATCTTCTAAACATCACCCTGAGAGATAAGAATTTTACTACTAATACTCATGTATTTAGTAAATAATGCGGCGTCTTTGCGCCGCATTACTCATTACTTTTAACCGAGTAAACTTACTCATTATTTTTAATCGACTAAACTGCTTTAAAAATTTTAGAATTATTAATATTTTTCAAGGTTAAGCAACATAAAATATGTAAACTCATTCCGTCATTCTTATATAAGAAAATTTTTCCTCGTTCTCACGTTTTAAAGTTAGTAATTATGTTTATGTTTCTTAAAAACGCGCTAAGCACGCACACACACACACACCACACACACACCACACACCACACACACATTATATACTTTTAACATTTAACACAATTTTATAATGCTACAAGCATATAATATTACTGTATAATATATATACATGAACAATAAGGATATAGCGTATTGCGTAATTAAAACATTCTATATTTATTCACATTTATCACAAAGGTTAAACATTCGATAACTTAAAGATTGCAAAAATATTTATTTTTACTTAATTTGAAAATGCTCTTAAAAAAACAAATTTTTCTCAATTTATACATTTTTTTAGTACTGATCTTTCAATTTTTAATATAAATTTAATGAAACATCATAAGAACCATAATTAGAAACGATAAATTATTATTTCATGTTTTTACCTGGAAAAGAAAAAGCTAAGATTATTATCACATTGCTACTCTATTTCGATCATTTGAAGGCGAAAGGGGAAAAGTCAATCGCGCAGTAAAAAAATGAATTATGCACTGTAGATAATGGATCGAAGAAAGTGATTCTTTTTTTCTGGACCACATTTCCCTTTATCTGGCGACGGCGGGATAATTGATTTGTTAGCACGCAGACGAGGAAGGGTTGCGCGAGTTCGATGACTTATAATCGAGCAACTATCATAAAATTAATTAGTAAAAATTAATTCTTCCACACGCAGCTCGTATCTACTCATCGAGAAAGAACGAAAAATCGAGTCGCTATACATAAAATTGTGTATTCAATTTAATAATTAAAAATTAGTTTATAGACGTATTCTTTATTATTTACTTGTAATCTTTTAAGATTATTTTTTATGTAACTATTTTTTTGTGTTAAACGTTGTCAGTACAATGCGTTGCCGATTTTGTCAAGTCGGCTGGAACTTGACAAAGCCAATTGCGGCAGCCAATTGTGCGACATTCAAGCGGCGCGCTCAGTACTGTAACACTGGATTTTTATATTTTGTTTTGTTTATAATGTATATGTATTTGTTTATGCCGCAAGCATATCTCATCATGTCGGCACGTTCGCATGTTTTCGTAATATGTATGTACGTACGCCGCTGCGGGCTCCGCCTTCACAAAGCCTCTTCCATGCGCTTACTGGAAGGAGAAAACTTGACAAAATCGAACTTAACAAAATCTGCAACGCACTGTAATTGCACGAAAAATGCGTTGCTTTTTATTTTAATAACAATATGTTCATGGGTCTCTTAGTAATTGTTATATAATGTATAAAGAGAAAAAAGTATCCATTTGTCTGATATAATTGATACGCGAGGAATTTTAAACGATACATGAGTGAGTAGAGTCTTTCTAGATCGCACAAAATTGAGCGATGATCTGATACCAAAAGAAGCGTTGGCGGCGATCTTTTTGAAGAGAGTTAAATTGATAATTGGTACCAATTCCGTTCTCCTCGATTGTCAAACGCACAGATTAAAACCTTTTTCAGGCGCAGATCTTTCACACGCTATCGTAATGGACCAGATTTACTTCGATGCTTAAAAGTAAAAATAATATTTGATTGTTTTAAATAATATCTCTTTGGAAAGTTCAAATGTGTATAATTTTGGCTTTTTAAAAAGTTGTGTTTTTCATTTACGACATTAATTGTCACATAAAACCAACGTAATACATATTACAAAAAAATGTAACAAATCACATTTCCAAAATTTTAACCGTGCTCTTTATTAACGGTTTCATTTTATATATATAATTTTCTTATAAAAATTAATAAATATATAAATAGCCTTTTTTTGTTAAAAGTTATCAAAATTGTATATTTGAATTTAAGAAATAATAAAAGATTTCCAGAAATTTAGATCATGCGTAGAGCTTGCGACGCGCGATATGACATGCGATCATATAATTCGCATAATTAATATGCAATAATTCAAGTCGATGAAGGCGGCGCGCGAAAGAACGAACGTTTTTCGTCTTTCTTCGTAAAGAAAGGGATTAGATGGCCCTGTATCCGTTACGTGCTCGTCTTTCATCCTCGACGCTATGCTTATGGGCTGCCATGATGCGCCGTCGTGTAGTTAAGTTAATTAATGAATGGTACAGTCGGGCTGGAGAGTGGACTTAAATTGATACGTCCTTCGCCGCTCGCGCACAGCCATTTTCATGCCGCCGCCGCCGCCGCCGCCGTCGCCGCGCGACTCACAACCGGGGATGCTGAGGATCAAGTGCATCGATAGTGCATCTTTTCTTTTTAAACTGAGCATTTTAGAACTGTAATTTCATTTTTTATATCATTTAAGCATCGTTAAAAAGCGTTCGGAAGGCAAAATATATTCCTCGGAAGGAGAATATTAAAATAATTTTACGAAATATCCTTTCTTACTATTGTATTTGCTTAGAAATTTGTTAAAAATTTGTTAACATTTTAACAATTTAATTATTAATAAATGACAAATAAATAACAATTTAATTATTAATAAATGCCAATGCTGTAAGAGATCTACGTGTTTGATGAGAATGACCAACGGTATCGGTATTCGAACGAATTGAAATGTCATGATTCTGTTAATTTCAAGCCTGCTCATTCAAAGTACGCGATTTTCTTACGCTTTCGTCAAATTGGCAATTCGATAGAAAAAAATTGCGTCACGACGGCAAGGATGCGCGTACGTGCGTTGCATCGTTGAGGAATGCAACTGGGTCGCCGGTGCGATAAATCGACTCAGTGATATAAATTTCGAGGACCGCAAACTGCGCCACGCTCTTTAAACAATCCTCATTAATTAACACATCGCGTCAACAATGATACTCGCACTCGACGTGAAAGCCGATTAGATGGTAAGTGGAAAGCACTTGGTAAACGCGCAAAACGTTTTACTATTTTTTACCGAGAAAATGTCTACAAAGTTGAAGAATATATTTGTGATAATGGTCATAAAATTGTTGAAAAAATTATATCTAAATTTTTCAAAAATAAGTAGATACCGGAGCTTGTATGATAACTTAAAGAAATTAATTTTTTATAGTATACTTAAATTAATAAAAAATTATACATTATCTAAAGTAAAACATGCATTTTTTTCGTAAGACAATATGATATGATTATGTAATCATAAATAACATTGATAAACGCGACCAAATATTCGGTATAGACTAAAAATATAATGATCAATTCGTAATCGCAAAACATTGTAACTTATCGTTTAGTTCGGTTTTCTTTTTTTTTTAATATACACTACAAATAAATAAAACTGCCATCTTGTTATCAAAATTCTCAATCAGTTATTTGTCGTCAGTTCTCATTTCGCGCGAAAATGCACATTCGCTCAATTTCTTATCTCAATAAAAATAGACCTATCCGGATGTTAGAGATCGCGATTTAACATATTTTTTATGCTGGAATCGACGGTCACCGGGAGTGACAAAAAGAGACTACTTTCCTCAAACTTTACATTTTTATCCTCCTGACACGAGAAACCTTTTAGCGTTGTTCGGTTATAGAAGCGAACTGTTTACTTGCACTAATATCTAGTCTTGTCTTATCGCACAAAGAAAGACGCCTACCTGCGTGAGGTCCAAGTTCGGGCATTTGGAAGCGCATTCCTTCTGGAGACTGACCGGAGGGACGTGGTCCTCCAGTTCCTCTGGCAGGAGCGCGATGGCCGCTCCCGCCAGCACCAACACCTTCAGCAGAGAGCATAATCCTGTTCCTAACATAATAACCCCCTCCCCCCCCCGGTAGAACCTTGCGCTCGATCAGCTTCCGCGTGATTCCCTGTCGGCGGCAATCCTACCCGATGGTCATCGCTCCCCTCGATCCTCTCGATGATCCGTGGATTCGCTAATCGAATCGATGCCTCTGCATGGTCTTTCGCCGGATCCTACGAGATGCGTCGCGACGCCCGTTGTCGTTATCGCCGTCGCCGTCGCGGAATCACGTACCGAGCATCAAGTAGATGCGTCGGAAGTTTGCGAACAAATTTTTCGACTTCCGCTAAGAATTTGGAAAACGAAACGACAATGCCAAGCGGGCCTCCCAGGAGGGCACAGGTTGCGCAATTATCGTGAGTAAATAGACGTTGTTATCGAATTATTTGAATGACAATGAAGTCTAGAGCGTGGAATTGTTCGCGTGGCGAACACACATTCCACGCGGATGCTGCTGTTAATTTTTCTCAAGTTATCGGGAAAACTGTTCTCCACGCACTCGGTTCATACGAGTAGCGAATCTCTATCTCCCGATGTTGTTCTCCAAGATTATCTCTTTCTCACGATCTCTTTCTCACGATCAAATTATGGAATGCTATCGATAAGCAAATAACTACAATGTTTTTCTCCTGGATATTGATGACGCACGTGAATCCGGTTGCACCAAAGGCAGTAATACGCGCCAGAATAATCAGTCCTCTTCCGCAGTTTTCTTTTGATGTTCGAACAGCAAAACGATCGAGCGATAAGAAACGGGCAATGATCGTCGCTCGGGCAAACTACGTCGATCGAAAACTTTCGCGACACCAGGCACAAAGTCCACGTACTCGATCTACGAGTTTAGCACTGTAAAATGTTCTCCAAAGCCAATTTTTTGATCCTTCGTGGTATCGCAGTGAAGGCCGCAGCCTCCTCCGTTTCTCGATTCAGGTGCAAAGATTCGCTGTCAATCCGACGCCGATTTTTTTCAAATTTTTTGCCTCGCGAAAAATTACCGCGTACGATTGTTGCAATTGTTGCATCACCACACGTGTTGGCTTTGGTATCCGCCGTTCGTTTCTCGTCGTTCGTTTCTCGTCGTTCGTTTCTCGACACGGTCTGTGACGTTCGTGTCACGCGGGTTCGAGGCGAGCGGCGCGCAACGCGATCACGCTGTTCGTGGCTGGCGAGCATAAGAGCAACTGACTCCGAATGGCCACTCCAGAGTCAACCATCCCCCACCACGGTGTGAGCACCCTTATCTGCCCTGCACTCCGTTTGCGGTCAATTCTCCTCGGCGAAGGTACTCCGCCGCTCTTTGTGTGGGTGCCGGGAGCACAAGGGAAGAACGAATCCGGAGGATCTGCCATCAGTTCGTACGGTCCACTGGCTGACTGGTCAATTGGCAGATTGACCTGTTCTTACTATCCTCGTAAACTTTCATTCATCCATTCGCACGTGCCCCTAGCTAGCTAGCAGCCAATAGTTATCTTATGAGAATCTCTATGAAAAGCGTAATTGACACTCGAGATACGGAAGACAACCGGGAAAAACGCTTTCAATCCTACCCCCCCCTCTCCCTTAATATCATGTAAATTTGAAGTCATATATTCATCTATATTATTAAGTCTTGTTCTGTTTTTAGCATAATGCAGTATAGCATTTTACAGTTGTTATTCTTTGGTAATCAAGAAGCTTGATTTTATAATAAATAGAAATCAGGAGTTTTATATGTATAAGAAGTCTGGTTTTATAAAATATTTGCAAATATTTAAAAATATTTGTTAATTAATATGTATTTTTTAAGTACAAAAAGAAATTTGAGTTATAGAGAGTTAATATCCTTCGTGATTTACCATTAATTTGTATCTTAAGTTGTAAAAATTGATTTTAAATCAATATGTATCCAAAAATTAAATCTTAATATACACACACACACACACACACACACACACACACACACACACACACACACACACACACACACACACACACACTATTACTTAATTTTGTTATTTTTTTTTCAAAACGAAAGCTCGAAAGCACAAATAATAAAAGTTGTTCTCCTAAAATATTGAAAACTACTTTTTTTATATCGATTTCCGACATAACATAGAGTCCATTTCTTTCGCAATTCGATAATTATAATATAAGGTAAGTCTCTTTTTAAAAGAGTTTTTTTTTCTAAAAAAATATTCGGTAACACGTTAATGTTTTGAAACAATATTTAATATCACATATATCTTATTGTTGAGTGAAGGTAATTTTCATTCTTTTGATTCGTGTCGCCAGCGATACAAAGTAAATTTGAACGCTCAACAAACGTTAAACGAAATTCTTTCATTTGAATCCTTCAGGAAAGAATGCATCACTCTAAAATCTATGTACACACGCGCTTTAACGCCTAGGAGTTGTTAATGACATTACTTCGATTGTCTTAAAAAGAATTGTAATTCTGAAACAAAGCCTCTTTTCGAAGAGATGCAATTGAGTTTGCGAATTGTCAGTTTGTGAATTTCATTTAATAAAGTATTTTTATTAGAAAATTTTTACATTTTTAATTTTTAGGAAAATGTTAAATGTTAGAAAAATATTTATTTTTGTATCAATTTTATTGAGTGGCAATGTAAGCTGTAATGCTGCTTTCTTCTTGCTCATTGCTTTTGACGCGCTTTACAGAACAAGAATTATAATATCTATTAATGTCGATGAATTTAGGATCGGTCTTGCACTTCTGCGAACCCTTTAGTTCTTCATCGACTGTTATTCTCGTGAACATGTTTGTTAGCTGTGAGCTCAAAATGATGATTCATTTCGACAGATTAAATCTGCGGACAACAAGAGTCAGTCAGTATTTGTGATGCCATTGTTAACAGCACGACGCTTCTTTCTTCACGATGAAAGGCTTCCTCGAGAACGCGTATTTAAATGATCGAGTCGATCTTTGACTTGTATTCATCGATTTCAAAAAACTTTCTTTATGAAAACGCTATTGGTAAAAGAAAAGTGCATATATATTTAAGACAATAAAGGAAATTAAAAGCTCATTTCTTAAAGCTCAAAGAGTAAAGCAATAAAAAAAGATTTAAAGATATATTTCACATATTTTTATTTATAATAAAAAAATTATAAACCTTTTAAGTATTCAAGATACTTTATATCAAGTTTCATTGCGATTACAGAGATTAGTTTTGCAGATAAAAATTGAATTTTTACTAAGAGTACAAATGAAGTGGTGGTATAAATAAAATTAAATTTATTTACAGAACAACTGCATAATTTCTGCACAGAATTTTACATAAATAATTTTAAATGTTTAAGTTAAAAGTGTTTTAAAAAATTAAAAATT